TATTTTGGTCATTGCTTTTGGAACATTCCAATTGTACAAAAATGACCATTTTTGTGTACAACTATTTCTGTACGTTATAAGCACAGACATCTATTTATCGGTAAATATTAGCTATTAAAGCATTTTTTTGTATTTAATGCAGAATGCAAACAGACGGGACTCGCCAAATCCTTGCAACATTCAGAGACTTACACGTATGAAGCCAAAGTCCACACGCAAATTGTCATCCGGAACGAGAAAGATTAAACATCCTCTCCACCTTGTCAAGGCTGCACCGGTGTCAAAATAAACCATTAGGAGCCTCGGCTTCGCGTAACACCCCACACAATGGAACAACAACAGCCTTGACACCTTAATGCAACACAGACCTGGGATATGGCAACACAAGGCCACTCCAGTGGAAATAATAGCAACATAAAAGGCACACCAAAAAAGTTAGACTCCCAGGGTTTAGGGACATAAAAGCTCTGTCCCCACACATGAATGGAGAGGTAGAGTCCGGACTCGCGTGGTGCAATATATGCAGCCCGTCCTCTTAAAATTACGTCGCTTTTCGCTGCTATGCCCAAAAACGGACGTAACTTTAAATGAAATCGGCTCACGAAAGTGATGTACTGTCCCGTTTTCTGTTTTGGGTCCTCCAGCTTACTCAATTAGGTTAGCAGAGGAAACTTTCAATTAACATTATTCATGGGAGTTGTGAAACTTTAGGAGAATTTCCTGCCCCTTCTAACCTACCAGAGGACCCTTAACTTGCCGTTTTGAAGAAACAAAAAATCCAAAATTTATTTTCAATAATTTTTTTGTTTTTGAATTACTGTGCTCCCTTACCCATGCTATGATGCCTACTGTGCTCCCTTACCCTTGCTATGATGCCCACTGTGCTCCCTTACCCATGCTATGATGACCACTGTGCTCCCTTACCCATGCTATGATGCCTACTGTGCTCCCTTACCCATGCTATGATGCCTACTGTGCTCCCTTACCCTTGCTATGATGCCCACTGTGCTCCCTTACCCATGCTATGATGACCACTGTGCTCCCTTACCCATGCTATGATGCTTACTGTGCTCCCTTACCCTTGCTATGATACCCACTGTGCTCCCTTACCCATGCTATGATGACCACTGTGCTCCCTTACCCATGCTATGATGACCACTGTGCTCCCTTACCCATGCTATGATGACCACTGTGCTCCCTTACCCATGCTATGATGTGCCCCTACTGTGCTCCCTTACCCATGCAATGATGACCACTGTGCTCCCTTACCCATGCTATGATGACCACTGTGCCCCTTACCCATGCTATGATGACCACTGTGCTCCCTTACCCATGCTATGATGCCTACTGTGCACTGTGCCTACCCCCTTACCCATGCTATGATGCCTACTGTGCCCCCTTACCCATGCTATGATGCCTACCCCCCTTACCCATGCTATGATGACCACTGTGCTCCCTTACCCATGCTATGATGCCCACTGTGCTCCCTTACCCATGCTATGATGCCTACTGTGCTCCCTTACCCATGCTATGATGCCTACTGTGCCCCCTTACCCATGCTATGATGCCTACTGTGCTCCCTTACCCATGCTATGATGACCACTGTGCTCCCTTACCCATGCTATGATGACCACTGTGCTCCCTTACCCATGCTATGATGCCTACTGTGCCCCCTTACCCATGCTATGATGCCCACTGTGCCCCCTTACCCATGCTATGATGACCACTGTGCCCCCTTACCCATGCTATGATGCCCACTGTGCTCCCTTACCCATGCTATGATGCCTACTGTGCTCCCTTACCCATGCTATGATGCCTACTGTGCTCCCTTACCCATGCTATGATGACCACTGTGCCCCTTACCCATGCTATGATGACCACTGTGCTCCCTTACCCATGCTATGATGACCACTGTGCTCCCTTACCCATGCTATGATGACCACTGTGCTCCCTTACTGTGCCACCCTTACCCATGCTATGATGCCTACTGTGCTCCCTTACCCATGCTATGATGCCTACTGTGCTCCCTTACCCATGCTATGATGACCACTGTGCTCCCTTACCCATGCTATGATGACCACTGTGCTCCCTTACCCATGCTATGATGACCACTGTGCTCCCTTACCCATGCTATGATGACCACTGTGCTCCCTTACCCATGCTATGATGACCACTGTGCTCCCTTACCCATGCTATGATGACCACTGTGCTCCCTTACCCATGCTATGATGACCACTGTGCTCCCTTACCCATGCTATGATGACCACTGTGCTCCTTTACCCATGCTATGATGACCACTGTGCTCCCTTACCCATGCTATGATGCTTACTGTGCTCCCTTACCCATGCTATGATGACCACTGTGCTCCCTTACCCATGCTATGATGACCACTGTGCTCCCTTACCCATGCTATGATGACCACTGTGCTCCCTTACCCATGCAATGATGACCACTGTGCTCCCTTACCCTTGCTATGATGCCCACTGTGCTCCCTTACCCATGCAATGATGACCACTGTGCTCCCTTACCCATGCTATGATGACCACTGTGCTCCCTTACCCATGCTATGATGACCACTGTGCTCCCTTACCCTTGCTATGATGCCCACTGTGCTCCCTTACCCATGCTGTGATGCCTACTGTGCTCCCTTACCCATGCTATGATGCCTACTGTGCCCCCTTACCCATGCTATGATGCCTACTGTGCACCCTTACCCATGCTATGATGCCTACTGTGCCCCCTTACCCATGCTATGATGCCTATTGTGCCCCCTTACCCATGCTATGATGACCACTGTGCTCCCTTACCCATGCTATGATGCCTACTGTGCCCCCTTACCCATGCTATGATGCCTACTGTGCCCCCTTACCCATGCTATGATGCCTACTGTGCCCCCTTACCCATGCTATGATGACCACTGTGCTCCCTTACCCATGCTATGATGCCTACTGTGCCCCCTTACCCATGCTATGATGCCTACTGTGCTCCCTTACCCATGCTATGATGACCACTGTGCCCCCTTACCCATGCTATGATGACCACTGTGCTCCCTTACCCATGCTATGATGACCACTGTGCTCCCTTACCCATGCTATGATGACCACTGTGCTCCCTTACCCATGCTATGATGCCTACTGTGCTCCCTTACCCATGCTATGATGCCTACTGTGCTCCCTTACCCTGTTATGATGCCCACTGTGCTCCCTTACCCATGCTATGATGACCACTGTGCTCCCTTACCCATGCTATGATGCCTACTGTGCTCCCTTACCCATGCTATGATGACCACTGTGCTCCCTTACCCATGCTATGATGACCACTGTGCTCCCTTACCCATGCTATGATGACCACTGTGCTCCCTTACCCATGCTATGATGACCACTGTGCTCCCTTACCCATGCTATGATGACCACTGTGCTCCCTTACCCATGCTATGATGACCACTGTGCTCCCTTACCCATGCTATGATGACCACTGTGCTCCCTTACCCATGCTATGATGACCACTGTGCTCCCTTACCCTTGCTATGATGACCACTGTGCTCCCTTACCCATGCTATGATGACCACTGTGCTCCCTTACCCATGCTATGATAACCACTGTAGGAGAGACATCGAACCATTGATATATTTCCATTCTTGCCAGCTATTTATAATAAATTTCGACATTAGGCTTGAATTTAGGGAGAAACGCGCCATTGTGGATGATATATTTGTACATTTCTTGTACATTTGTAACGAGAGTTTTCATTATTCTTATGTTTTCCAATTCAAGTACATTATATAAAGTGATAAGGGCACTTAATGTTTATACCATATTGTTTCCCCCATCTAAGACAAAACATTAAAATACTCTGAATCAAGCGAAGAATCAACGTCTGGTTACACAAAACGAGATTTACTTAATATTGGAATCCAACCCTCCCTTTCCCTTAGTCTTCACACACTAACTAACCTGTTCCTTAACTTCAGTTGCTGCCACGTATGGAACGAGTTTGTCACTTTCGAAACACACTCACTCCTTGTGGAAGCAAACTCACTTATATCATCACACTACAAATCAAAAGAACCCAATACACACATAAAAGTTATAATTACAAATCAAAAGCAGTTTTAGGTTTCCTTAAAATCTTACATTGCATTCTGTAACTGTCTACATATTAACATCATTTAGATATGTACTAAGGAAGCAGAGTTTTGTAGCGAGCCGTCATCTTAACCCACAATGTACCTATTGTACTGTGTCTTCAGTCAATTCAAAGATTTTCAGTTGTAATTTCATCCACTTGTAGTGTAAAGTGGGCAGAGCCGTGTAGGCCTAGTGGAAGAGACTGTGAGGACCGAGATTAGATTTAGATTAAATTTTTTATTCAGGTAAAGATACATACATTGAAGATGAGTTACAAACATAATGTTGGATTTAAAGATAAGAGCTAGTACATACAATACCTAAAGCCACTAGTACGCACAGCGTTTCGGGCATTACTCAGGCCTGGGTAAGAAAGTAACAAGACAAGATATCTCTTGTCAACATATCTCTTGCCTGCTGAGCATTGGGGAGAAAAACCCGGGGATCTTTAAGGCTCAGTTATAATGCAAGTGTCATTGTACCTCTGGGGGGAAACTGGCCCTATCACATGTAGAAAAGGCAGACCCTTCCCCCACAGAACGATCGATGGACGGGGCCCTCCCCTTCCCATCCCAGCTTGACTATCCCTCCTATGAGGGATAGATGGAGCCAGTCTGTCACAGTTACACAGTCACTGCACACACACTCACCTACCCACCCGTAGGCTCTTGGAACCAGTCGCGGCGGCTTACCAGGACCCGCATGCGGCTATACCAGTCTCACAAAACCTGAATAATCTAAAATATTCCTTCGATAGTTCGCCGGTATCAAACCCAAGACGGCAAGCCTTACTGACGTTTAAACAACGTATCCTAAGCTTTCTTAAGACATAAATGATAGAAAAGAGAGTTAATAGAGCAACTTACAGCTTACCTTGAGGAGAGAGAAGACAAAACTGCCGTAGAGATGTGTTAAAACACCAGCTTACTGGAGGATAATATTTTCTAACACAGCAAATATACACTTATTTCACAATTTATCTTGTTGTTGTATGTCAACTTGCTGTTACAACCGATTATATGTTTACTTTTAAGCGGCGAGGACTGATAACACTGGTATGGGGGCGAGTTAGTATTGAGAGAGAGAGCACAGAGCAGCAACGTATCCCTTAGCGCGTCTGGGAGCGACTGACAGCTTCACCGCTCGCTTAGTATGTTGCCGCCACCAGCACCCAGTTGCCACCTACAGCAGACTACCAACACCAAGGTTGCCACCACCAGCATTCAATTCCCACCACCAGCACTCAATTCCCACCACCAGCAGACTACCAGCACCAGGTTGCCACCACCAGCAGACCACTAGCACCAGATTGCCACCACCAGCACCAGATTGCCACCACCAGCACCCAGTTCCCACCACCAGCACCCAGTTCCCACCACCAGCACCAGGTTGCCACCACCAGCACCAGAATCTCAAACAGATGCTCAGCTTTACACACACTGATGTTAATCACTGAATAAGCTTTGAAACAGCCTCTTGCTGTTCGCTGACAACACATTATCATGCTTGCAGATTTGAGAACTGCCGCTGAAACCTGTCAACACGAACCCTTAACTGACACCCTCCATCCCACCACACACACTCAAACGTCAAGGCCGTCGGATACTTATCAACTGGGTGCCAAGTCATTTAGGAATATCAGGGAATGACATTGCATTTTGAAAATACTCAAAAGTGTATTCAGGAAGAATCTGCAAGGTCTTCTCTGAATGACTTTTATACTCTTCTCCGAGTTGTCCAAAGAATTGTACTCGAGATGATTTTCAGAGTAATCAAACGGAAGGAGAAAGAACCAGAGGTAGTTGTAATAGTGGAAACTAAAATTATATGTTCTCTGATGCAATTTTTCCAGGGGGATACTAAATAATAAGGAAAGAAAAGATTCAGATACATGGTTATCTTGAGATGTTATCTCGATATGATTTCGGGGCGTAGCGTCCCCGCGGCCCGGTCCTTCACCAGGCTTTTTTTGTTACACACCCCACAGGAAGCAGCTCATATCAGCTAACTCACAGGTACCTATTTACTGCTAGGTGAACCTACTAGATGAATAGGGCATCAGGGCGAGAGAAACTCTGCCCATTTGTTTCGCCTCCGCTGGGGATCGAACCCTGAACCTTAGGACTACAAATCCCGAGCGCTGTCCACTCAGCCATCAGACCCCCTAACGGGGAGGGGGGGGGGAGATGGTGGAGGAGTGGCACTCCTAGTAAAGTGACAGTAGAAACACATTGATATTCTTTTAGTGACTGGATGGGACGGAGGGAAGAAATGGCGCCCAACCACTCAGATGGTCGGGAATTAAACTCCGACCTGCATGAAGCGAGACCGTCGCTCTACCGTCCACCCCCAAGTGGTTGGGAAGGAGCAAGAGATCGAGAAAAATGGGAACCGCGTTTAAAATTAAAGACATCAACACTAAAAAAGTATTTTCTCATCATCAGACATGATTTATATAAAAGACTTCTTCCACCCTTCAGATTACTGAAATAATTGTAACTGCTCAAATTTCCCGAAATGAAAAAACGTTCAATATATAATGTAGAAACAATTAAGCGACAGAAAACAGTAGAGAAGAGCAAGCATGGTTTAGTGAGCCATTATTAATTACTGGTAGTTACAGAGTTCTAGAGCTTTAGTCTATTGGTTTATACCGAGTAGAGCAGCTGGCCGAAAGATACTGAAGCACACTGCAACCTGTCCTCCTAATAGAACGTCGCATTTTGACGTATTACTCTAAGGCCAAAAATTGACGTACTAGAAAACTGAAGCTGCTCGCGAAATTGTCATACTGTCCCATTTTCGGTTTTGGGTCCTCTGGTGGATTAGGATAAGGGCACTTTAGTACGACAGTTTATTGACGTTGGGGAACGGACGGACGGACTGAACACCGGAGCACCCAAAAAAACTGTCTCAATAGATTAAGGTTCGAATAAACCAATGGAACATCACCGGAAAATAATCTTATATTTTCTAGTTAGTTTTTCACGCTTCTAAAATTCATAAGTTAATTAATGTCAAAATATTGCCAACTGAAACTCGGCGGAGGATAGAGTTTATAGGTTAACTCTGATATCAAATAACGAGAAAGAGGCGTGATATTTTTCTATAGAAAATATTTTCTGGTAGAAGTTTGGAGGCAGGCGACAGGCATATATATATGTGTCCTGGAACTCCGGGTGCTCCATTTGCAGCCAGCCATTCTTCTCTACCCGTCAAGCTCGCCTGACTGGCTTACAGAGTCGCTTAGGCTATTTCCACCCTCCTGTGGCTTAACTTTTCTCCTGGGACCAGGCTTGACGCCGCCTTTGTCGAAAGTCTGAGGTGAACGCCAGAGGCGGAATGAACGGCTCCAGACTCGCTCCAAGGGCGCCAACTGACCGCTGCCTCTTGGTGGCCATTGCAGAGGTGACCATGTAACTGTGCTGTAGAGGACGGTGACCTCTGGTGCTCCAGCAGTCATTAATTACTCACAAATCACCCGTACTCATTCCCTGAATCCACGTCCTTAGTGTCACGCAACACCTATGTCAGCTAGTGACTCCCCGCCCCCCCCCCCCAAATTGTAGTGTAGGTATACTCAGATCGGAAACAGCGCATCCTAGAGATTTCTCATATTTTTAGTTTACTTTCTAGGGCATCTACTGATCATTCAACCATACGTTATTGATGACCAGACCACACACTTGAAGGTGAAGGGACGACGACGTTTCGGTCCGTCCTGGACCATTCTCAAGTCGATTGTGAATACAATCGGGACGGGACGGACCGAATCGGAGAATGGTCCGGGACGGACCGAAACGTCGTCGTCCCTTCAACTTCTAGTGTGTGGTCTGGTCAACATACTTTAGCCACGTTATTGTGACTCATCGCCTGAAACCATACGTTATTGTTGTGTCTTTACAAGATAAACCAGCAGATATATATATTCTCGTCTGTACAGAGTTGTATCTGTATGCAGGGTTAGAGTTGCTACAATACACAATGAACTATTGAACATTAGAGTAGTGAGAGAGTAACTTTTACTACCCCCACAGTGGCCGCCCTATGTGACAGGGCTGTATCCGGACTACACAGGCTCCTGTGTGGAGATCTTCAAGATCATCCAGAAGAAACTAGGATTCTGGTGCGTAAAAAAACTGAATTATCCTATTCCCCCCCCCCCCAACGAGTCGCTGAATTTAAAGCCGTTCTATATGTCTCATAATCTATGTTGTTGTTTGTGTATTAATACATTCTCCAGAGCTTGCACTTAGTTATTAATGAGTTCTTTTTACTGCTTGCATCATCCACCTAGTTCTCGTTCTCGTTTCCTCTCTCTCTCCTCCTTAGCACACATTTCAACAAATTCATTGATTACTTTTTTACATTTTCTCATTATGCTTCTTTGCCTTTATCTCCCTCCAGGTGGTGTTTGGCAATTCTTCTCATTCCTCGATAGCCTCGTGCAGAGTAGTCTAGTTTTTAAAACTGCGGGTCCCGGCCCATTCGTGGGTGGCAAAATAAATAAAACGTGTAATAAGATAAACCCACAATAAATAAGCAAGTGAGAGCGACAATCTCATTCGCACTCATTACTCATCATGGCAATTGATGAGAGTGATGGTACGCTTGTTGCCAGGTGATTGATGATGAATTGCTGTATCTTAGTAGTTTATTTACACTGAAGAACCATTTTCAGCAATTCAAATTTGTCATCATTTTCGATTAAGGTTAAAAGGAGAATTTCAACTTTGATGTAAAAGGAATATCTTGATATGATTACCTTTTACTAATTCATGTGAATTAGGATTTTCCACGTTAACTTCACTAAAAACTAATGATAGAAAGCAGCTCAACACTGCACCAGATATGCATGAAACTTGTGTTCCAAATTGGAATCAACTAATATCGAACAAACAAACAAGTCATTTTTATTAAATTAAATTTTTGTTTAAGTATTGTTTACCTTTTTTTTTGCTAGAATTTCGTGCAAAAGGTTTATTTTCATATTTTCATATTAATGAAAATATAAATATGTAATTTAATTGAGTAAGTTTTATCCACATATATGCATTTATCTTGTCTCAGGAGTAAATAAAAGAAAATAATTCACAGTTTGCATCTGAAGTATTAAATGTAGGACTACTGGCACGCATTACAATATATAATTCTTGCCGAGAGTCGCAAGAAAACAAAATAAATAAATTCGGAAAAACACTGATGTATGTCATCATGCTGGACCTTTACGCGGATTTCTACATCTGTAATCCATCTTAAAATATTATGATCACACGATAGGGTGATCCTGATCACACGTCTGAAAATTTCTAATCCTTTCGTTTGTGATCCTAGATTCGCTTAATCTCGCGCTTTACGTTTTTTATATAGAAAAAAACATTAACTTCTTTACCAGCAAAACTCTAGAAACAAATCAATTAAAGCTAAACAGTGTGTAGATGGTTGGAACTTGAATAGGCAACTAAATAGTACAAATTTTCGAGTATTATTGTTCTGACTTCAAGCTGACTGACATCAAGCTGATGTCAATCAGCTTGATGTCACACATCTACAAGCTCACAGAGAGAATCCAATGGGAGGGAATCAACCAACATCTCGGAGAACAATCTTGAAAAATCAACGAACATGGGTTTGAAGACTACGAAGAAAAGTACCTTAGTATATCATTCATTGATGGATTCACAAGTTGGAGCGGCATTAAAAACTAAAAGCTAACCAAACCCTTGGAATAAATAATCAAGCGTGCCTTTGACTTTAAGGAAAAGAAGTTAGTCATTCAATTCTCTAAATCTCTGGTGCGTCCGCTCCTGGATTATTGCATCCAGGCATGGAGACCTCTTCTTCAGAAAGATATACATGCACGTGAGAAAGTTCAACCCCTGGCAACAAAAATAACTCCAGAACAAATTCATCTCTCATACAAGGACAGGTTGAGGGGGCCACAGGGCTAACAACACTGCAAACCACACATGATAGGGCTGAGCTCATCGAAACGTTCAAAATACTGAACAATTTTGGAGGATGTTGATCCTCAAAATTGAAGATCATTCTTCAAAAGGTCAGACGTAACGCAGACAAGGAATAACTATTTCAAGTTCAACAAGACACAATGTAGGACTGAAAACAGATGCTATTTCACC